TTCATTGCTTAATTTCCTCCTAGTAAACGGCCTGAAAAACGTACGCGTCTCACAGCGCTGCTCGGTTTGGGGGCTTTTTTTTCCCTAGGAAAATAATGTATTTGGAACGCTTTCCCCGCAGCTCTGCCCTGGGAAGCGTTCCGTTCTGTGAGGGTCTTCCCCGCCGCGCCTCGCGTGCCCGCTCCGCGGGCGGGTCTCTCTTCAGGTCTCCTCACAGGGTTCAGAACTAGTAAAATCTGTCACGGCACCACACGGCGGTAAGAGCAGGTAGCGGGCGCGGGCGCTGCGGGCGCTGCAGGAGTCCCTGCCGCTGTCACAGGAGGGCGGCGGCCGTGCCGGTGTTGGCGCTTAGAGGTGCAAGTCTGGAGTGGCTAAGGGCGCTCTCCTCCTGCCTTTTGCCTATTGGGGTTAAACGTGAGTTTTATAACAATAATACTAATTTAAAAGAGCTTGTGGGGCCTTCACAGAACAGACTTTACCAGTTTGTTAAAGCTCAGATTTTCTTGGCTATACTAGCGTAGAGTTTTCAGGTGTCTATGGACATCCTTACTCTGTTGCGTGCTAGATGGTATTTTTGATTAAATTCATTTTGCAAACTTGAGTACAACGTCCATTAAAATGGATGAGTACTTTTCTCAGACTTACCGCCAGTGTCGGCCTCCTGTGTGTCATTAAACTAGTGTGTTGGCAGCACATGTGCCTAATTTTCTTCAATATTTTAAGATTATCTAGGACAGCACCATGGTGGAAATTTTTCTTTGGGAGGTTCTTTGTCTGCCTGTTTTGGGGGGGGTGTTTTGATTTTTTAGAAAAATCTCATTTTGGGGGAGGTAGGAAAAAAATGCTTAAAAGATGTTGAGCTTGTTTTTCAGTCTTGGCCTGCATCCTGCACTTACCAACCCGCTCAAATGAGTGAAGTTAAGTCAAGTACACAGGACACTAGTGTTATGCTGTGTTTTATCTTAAAGGCTTGGCTTCAGCATGTATTTAAGAGTCTACTGGAAATCAGGCATTTAATTCCTAACTTCGAAGTTTCAATACAAAGGGCCCAAAGTCTGTGACATGCTGAAAAGAGCTATTTGAAATATTTTATACAAAAAAGCACTGGAGTTTTGTTTGCAAATTTCTTTGTCGTTTGGTGTATGAAATTGTCAAGATTCAAGCAAGCTCGGATTTTTAACTTCTTGAGTGTGCTCATACACCTACAATAAGATATTTTTCTTCCTTTTTATTAATATAGTTTCTTCCCTAAGAAATGGGAAGCTGCAAAGCTAAAACTTGAAATTAAAATGCAAATTTGATTATTTTGGAAAGTGTGATTTATAGGTGTAACTGAAAAAGCAGAGCAAGACAGTTCGAACAAAGTAGAAAATTAGATGCAGTTATCAGGTAACATTGAATTCTATTCTCTTTCTCTCAGCCAAACCCCAAATCATTGAGCTTCTCTGTTCCAGCAGTCCTTTCCATATATAACATACCTGGGGATCACAGCCTGAATCCAAGTATGAATGTGAGCCTGACCTGTGAGTCTCTTAATATGTTGACACGTAACCCATTCTGTAATTAATATTTTTACATAGAAAGTCACTGTATCTGTTATTTTGCATGGATCTTCTGTGTCAATTTTCAGTCTGTGGCTACGTGTTATTACTGGCTGTTGAGCCTCAGTTTGGTATCAGAAGGGGAGAAACTCAGCTACACTCTGGTCGTGCTGATGTCTGAAGCTGGACCTGTCCAGTTCCAGACACTGGTATCACTGGTGACTTCTGATGGAAACTCCTGAATAGCTGCTGCTCTGTTCTTACAGACATTAGAATTTCTCTTAAGTCCGCTCAAGCATGTGTTGTGTGTCTGCATTTATTTGATCCTTTATATTTAACAAGATTGCTTGTGCTTAAAATTAAGTGTATATATAACTGCATGTATATATATGCAGTTATACGTCCAACGTTTACAAATTAAAACTGTTGCTCCCTCTTGAACCTTTTGAGAAAGTTTGTTTGCTAATTCTTAAAGAGAACCCGTCTTCTATGACACACCAGCTATTTTTGCATGAAAGCATTGTTACTCTAGAAATTGTGATTGAAATGCTAGTATCTGTAGCTAAGTATTTGTCTTAAAGCTATAAAAAATATCTCTTACTAAACACTATGGCACCTTATCAAAAAGCTCATCACAAGAGTCCAGTTTTCTTAGTGTGATGTCTGTTGTGTAACCTCTTAGAAAGATGCTCTCTTGCCGCATGATAAGGCATACATGCGGTGTTGTTGGTCTGCACGTGCACAGCAGTTCCGAGGCATCCCAAAAGTTAGTGTGCTGCAGTCTTGTGAACAGGTCTGACATTTTTGGTCTATCTGGTTAGACCCTGCTTTGTTTCAGGGACTTCGGGCACAGAATGTCTCTCAGCATAGTTCATACAACCTTTCCTGGCCACCCTCTTTCCTAAAGCTCCTTCCTTGTGGGAAAGGAGTTGCCTGTGACCTGCATGAATTACTCTGGGTGAAAATTAAAGATGTAACTGAAAGAGAAAATTTGATTAATTTTATTTTTTTTTTTTAATGAGAAACCCGCCCACAGCGTTCTAAGGAAAGTCTAGCTATTTAGAGACGAAAAGGTTTCTAAAAGAGCTTCTGGTGTTTGAGTAGGGGATGAAATGACTAATAAAACGGCCTGTTCCAATAAAGCATTTAGATTTGAGCACATGCTTAGTTTTGGGGTGTGCTTGTGCTTCAAATTAAGCACCTATTTATGTACTCTGCTGACCCTGGACATCGGTGCCATAGATGAGGTTAACATAAACTAAGTGGAAAACTTACTATAAAGTGTCAAATTCATTTAAAAAGGAGCTTATGTTGGCCTCTCCAGTGGATTACAAATGTTGTCCTTAATATGAGGGTAGGGCTACAAATGCTCAGCACACAAACACTGCTTGTAACTTGTTGCTCTTGGGCTATGTAGTTCTTAGGAGAGTCATGACAAGGCAGAAATTCCCTCTAGTTCCAATTTTGATATTCCCACTGACTTCAGTATGTTTTATGCTTTTAAGTTATTTTGCAACAGCTATGTGAAATATGTTGAAAAATCTTACTATATGAACAGTTAAAAGTCAGACTACTGTGGAGAAAGGGCGATAGTAGTGATTCAAGAAAAGAATTGTCGCAATGTAGCAATTTTCTGGTAAATTCATCATGTTATTCTATTCATGCCCAGCTATTCACTTACCTGCTTCTATCCATATTGCTGATAGTAGACCAAAAGCTAAATGACTGCAGGATAACGTATGGAGCATGTACTATGCCCAGATGAGCTGTAATCCTAAAATGAAAAATTAGAACGAATACAGGACTAAGTAACTCAGCAGAATAAAAATGGCAAACCCAGCAAGTCGTAAGATTTCCACAGTGAAATCTCTGAAGCAGTTTCGAAATTAGAATAATCTGAAAGATCACAGTGGAGACGGAAGGCAGCTTTCTCAGTTACCACTTTGGGTTGATCATAGGAAATCCAAGCCACTGTATGAAATCTGTAAGATTTTTTTTTTTAATTCTGTTTCAGACCTGAGCTGTCCCCCAGTTTGGCATTTGGTAGATCTGGGATTTTGATAGAGGGGCCCAGCGTTCGTCATGGAATATTTCGTTAACTCTTCAGACTTGACTTGTTCTCTCTCATCTTCTTTGATCATTGATCTACGCAAAGCACATGTGAGAAGTTGCTTTCCCTTTAAGTAAAATCTGTAAGCATTTTGAACTGAGCAAATGTTACCTGATGGAGAAAGTAAGTTCAGGCAAGAGGCTGTGACAACACCAGCTTAGTGGGGGAGAGTAGTACTGGTGACTGGGATTGGTATTTATGATTTCTACTTGTGAACCTGGTTTGAAGTAAACAGTAGCTCAGGGTAAACCAGAGAGGCTTACAGCAGGTTAAGACATGGCAGCAGGAGAAAATAAATCTTTGCCTGTCCACAGCAGCTTCCTTCAGAAGGTCTTGGCGTGCAAACGTAACTGAGTTTTGACAATGCCTCTGTGGCGTAAGCGATCATTGATCCTGTTACGTGTGAAGAGTAAACATGGCCATAGGCTGCCAGGGAAGGCATATGACGAGAACCCCAGTTCTAGAAGAATGAGTCAGTAGAACAGGAGGTAGATGGTGAATCTCCCTCAAGCAGGAGTGGAAGGTCTTCATCACAAGTTCAGTGAACCCTGGAAGACCTATGTCTGATGTGTTGTAAAAACCTGATTGCTACCAGAAGGACTGTAGTTTCGCTGTTTGGTGTATTATTTACTCACAATTTCATCCAGCTTAGGTTTGGGACTTTGGCTGAAGGGATGAGCTGCCTCCCGTGAACTTGCTTGCTCCCAATGGAAACACCTTGCCTTCAGCACCAAAGCTTTTGCTTTCATCCTATTGCTTTTTGATTGATTAATCATCAGGGAATGATTGCTAGGGTGATTTTTAAAAAATTTCTTAAAAAATTTATTTTAAACTTGCTGCGTGGGATTGTTCTGAGCATTTGCTATGTTGTGATGCCGTATACTTAATTTCTTTTCCTTGCAGTTTTGTGGAATTTCTAGTAGGTTAACTTCTCTCTCTTTTTTTGCAAGAAGGCTGAAATGCTGTTAGAGACTGGATGAGATGTTTGTGTGTGTCTCTCCCCCTTACTACACACGCGCACCCTCCCCTCTGCAGGCTGCCCTGCCAGAGCCCCTCCTCTGGCTGGAAGAGGGGAGTTGAAATAGTGAGCTCCTGCTTTGTGAAGGAAATCTTCTTTCACTGCCTTTCTCAGAGATGCCTTTGAGAGAACTGATGTGGTTTTGTTAACTTCTGGGCTGAGGAGGTGATTTCAATGGCCATGGGGCTGCACGCCATCATTTTACTCTGTGCTGTTGTGGCAGGAGCTTCAGGGAGTAAGTAGAAGAAACTTTTTCCTCTGCTAAGATTGATCCCTCTCAATGCAAAATATTTCTGCTAAGGAATGATCTCACTAGCAAAACTTCTGAGATGCTGTAAATTATGTTACAACTTGTAGGTTTGCAGTAATTCTTGTAGCAGCGTTGTCTTGATTTTCAGTGTAGTGTAGCAATTCGCTTTACTGAGCTCTCCGGGTGGTACTGGGCAGGTGGGAGGGCACCCTACCTATAAAGGAGTGCAGTTAACTAGTGCATCTTCCTTCAGCATTACTAGGGAAAGCAACAGAAACAGTGAGACTGTGCTAGTCAATTCGTTATCTCACCTGAAAATAACATGTTAGTATCATGTTCTAAAATTGTGCTCACTTCGGTATTTGGCAGATGAAGGATTCTGAAAAGTGTGAATAGGTCATGAAATGTCAATGATGTGGTGCTTTGTTACTCTTGCCAACTGAAGAGAGAGAAGTGCATGCTGGTTTTAGAACCAAAATAAATTATGGAAGAAAATTTAAAATATAAAAAGAACAAGAGCAGAAACTCTAAATTTAGGCACCTTAACAAAGTTAACAAAGTGCCCGATTGTCCAGGGTGCTCAGCCTACCACACTATCTGTCTGTGATAAGCACGTTTAAAAATTCTGAGCACAGCATTCAGGTATCCACACAGGAGCTGAAAGCGCTCTTAAATATGGTCCTGGGGAGGCATGCGCAACGTCTTAAAAATCTGATGCTACATAACAGAGATTAATTTTCCAAGTTTGTCTTACCATATTTATTTCAAGGTTCTTGAATAATTTGTGCTGATTTCTTCATTAAAAGCCATTAACTTAACACTACCTTTTTCCACTGTTTAAAAGAAGAGGGTGAGGTAGATAGCCCTTTTCTTACCTGACCCACTAGATACTTAGGGATGATTTTTTTTCCCCCAAGGAGACTGGGAAGTGTATTTCTTTCTCTCCAAATGCAGTGTGTTTGGAATGCTAAAGTTAATGCATATGTTTTATGTATAGATAGGTATATTTATAAAAATTAATAGTTGAGTGATAATTCTCATATGTTACATGACCTGGTCTCTCTATGCTAGAAGGTTTTCTAGTTTTGCAGATAACTGTAGCACTAGGACCAAGTTTGCTTGAAAATAACATATTATTCATGCTTTTTAAAGGTAAAATCTGAAGTTCCATAAAGAAAATTAGTTCTGCAAAATAAAAAGGAGCATTTGTTGGGAGGAAAATATAAATTTTGGGGAAAGACCTTTTCAAGAAAAATGTAATTCTAGTCTCCAGAAACTTAAATTTTAACTTGGGAATAAAAACGTGTATAAGCTTGAGTGGGTGCTGAAGAAACAAACACTTTCTTATTTTTGTTCCAAAACCAGTGAATTCCCTTCTTTCCTCCTGCCAATAACTTTGACATTTCAAAAAAAAGGATTAAGAGAAGGGAAAATATGGTTCCAATAAATAATACAAATGTGGATTTTTAAATGTTGTAGTTTGACAAGAGCATTTTCTTCAGGCATATAGCATATATAAAACATCCAAAAGCAGAGAACCAGAATAAAGAGGCTCTTTAAACTTCTGACTCCAGTGGGAGACAAAGCTGAGCAACGCAGGGATGTTAGTTTCGGCTTAACAGGGAGGTTCATTAGCATACAGTATAGCATAGAGGTTGGGGGCGATTATACTTACTATTGAACTTCTTGTGGGAGTTATTTTTAAGAAAGATTTATCAATAATGGCAAGTTAGGGCTGAATGTTTTTAATGTAATACATGATTTATTAGTAAAAGTAGCATTTTCTTTCACTATGGTACATACAAGTGCCATGTATTGAAGTGCAGCAGGATCATGTATTTGCTTTTGGCTGTTCCTTGTATATCACTGCAGTGCATATGAGCAGCTGGGATCTGACTGATTTTGCCATGTGCATGTTCCTATCAATATCTAGGGCTTGGGGTAACTTGCTGAGTTGAGCGCTGGGGAGTGTTAGCAGTGCAGGATCAGGTCCTGGAAAATGTGTCTCACGTGTCCATCATGGGGCTTCTCTCTCAAAATTCCTGTAATTCAGCTCAAGTTTGTCACGGAAGTTCTCAAGAGATCGGGACCATTAGGCCAGTCTTCAACATAGTACCTGTGTATTTGCCAGGGGTGAAAGCAGTCCGCAATGATTTTGCTTCATGTGCTGGAGCATGATTTATATCAGTCTAGCCCTTTTAGTGCCCAGTCATCGTGCTTGTAGAGGCAATCACAGTGATGCACAGGAAATAGATACCCTAAAGATTTCCCTGTTGCTTTACTTCTCTGTGAAAACAGAATTTTTCTTCCAGTTCATCATGGACTTTTATGTTGTCTACCAGTGCTTGCAGTAACTGATGAATGTAACTCTGCCAGGCTTATTTAAGGTCATTCAATGTCAGAGCATTAGAGTGAGAGTCTTACTAGTTTACTGTGCAGATGTGTGCGCACAGAGTGAGGAGAAGGAATGGAGGCTCTGTACGTAGCAGCCCTGACTGTTTCCCCTGTTCATGCCAACGCAAATCTAAAGCAATTCCATCTGTGTGGTGTAAGTGTGTTCTGCATCAGCTTGAATTCGCTGCCCTCCCAGGCAAAGTCTGAATGAAAGTCATGCTGGAGAACAGGCTCTCCAGTGTTAAAGGACGTCTTAAACAACTGCCACCCTTGAGTTGTGATGTTTAAGGGTTCCTTAGTGTGCTGGTGCTGGAAAAGTTTTTCTTGGGTGGTAAAGTTTGCTCTTGTTCTGCTTTAAATGATACTTATGATTCTTGAATGGCCATGTGCAATAAAAATCTTAGCTAAGTAGAAATTTTCCCTAGCTGCAATAAAGTTGAAAGCCTATGGATGTGAAGAAGTGTGGTGTATAAAATGTGTATTTCTTTCTTGGATTAAGAACCCCTTTTTTAAATTTGCTTGGTAATCCATGGTATTGTTGCATTTCCATACCTACCTCAGTAAATACACTGAGGCATGTCATTCCTTTATGTACGAGCTTGTGTGGTATAGATGTGTGGAAAGGGGCAAGAGCTAAGTCTTGTCCCTGTATACTTGGTAGCAAAACTCTCATGGATTTTTTTTTTTTTTTTTCTTTTGAGGATCATGCTTTGGTTTCAATTATTTCATTGTAATTGAAAAGCAGCAGGTCTGTCCTGAGCTGCACACAAATTTTCAGTGTTTTTCTATTATCTTACCTGTCATTGCAGGATCCTTGGAGGGTTTAAGTTACGGAGCTTCCTGTTTTGCGGAGTGTGTAGGTGAGTAAACCAAGACTGTACTGAGGCCTTGTATGTGATAAGGAGCGAGGGATTTGAAAACTTGTTCTCTTCCGCAGGGATGTTGTGTTCTTAGAAGAATGATACTTATGTCTGAGTGATCGGCATTCATGGATGTAGCGGAGAAGTTGCACTAAGCTTTACCAGGCCCAGACCTGCCTAAAGTTCGCATTCTGTGAACTCAGAAAACTCATAGACATTAGAGCTAAGCAAACTACTAAACCAGTGCAGGACAAAACCCATCCATGTATGAGTGGTTTTTCTAGCAGTACCCAGTGTTAGCTCCTTTCATACTGAAACAGGCATGAAGAAAGACTTCTTCAGTGAGCAGGCACAAAACTTCTATCCTGTAAAGGAGGAACAGACAGGAAGACAGGATACTGAACTGACCTGGAAAGGGTTGGTTGAATGGTTTGAGGTGTAGCTTCTCATTTACATTGCCAGCAGGTACTTGAATGTGCAAAAGTGCTTTACAGTGTAACAGCAAGGGGAGCACATGGATGTTCTGCTCCCAAGGAGATCTTGCCCTGGCCCCTTAGCTACCTCCTCAGACAGTGCGGCTCAGAGACCCTTCATTTGTTCAATATTACTTCATCTCTCTGTGGCTTTGTCATTGAAAGGACATGAGGAAAAATTTCTTTACTGAAAGCATGGTTAAACATTGGAACAGGGAAGTGGTTGAGTCACCATCCCTGGAAGTATTTAAAAGACGTGTAGATGAGGCGCTTAGGGACATGGTTTAGTGGACATGGTGGTGTTGGGTTGACGGTTGGACTCGATGATCTTAGAGGTCTTTCCAACCTTAATGATTCTATGATTCTATGAAAGTGCTCAAGTGTTGCAGTGCTGCTGTGAGGCAGAGAAAAAGAAGCTCTCCATTATGGGAGCCACAGTGGTCATTTTTCCCAGGTGTTGTCTTCTTCGTCTGAGGGAAGGGAGAGTATTTTCTTTGAATTTTCCCTCTTCTGCACTTCAGTGGTCCCAGTTAAGGCTGTACCATGATGTCTTATCTTTTAGGGATACCGTATTCGTTACAATCTCACACACCACAGCCACCAAAATGTATGGCATTGAAGGTATTATGACTCTGGTCTTCTCATCGTTTCAGGGTTAATTCTTACCACCTGGTCTAGAAGAGAATCTCCTTTGGTTAGAGGAATAGAGAGACCATGTAGCACACATGAGAGTGTCTGACATTATATTCACTAGAAGACAGTGCTACCCATAGACACTTGCCAGGTCATTACAATATCTTCATACAAATACCAAATAATCCTTATCTTCCCATGCTTTCTTTTCCTCAGCCTGGATCTTTTCGGGCCGGCTTTCAGAACCAAAATTCTTTACTTAAAAACCACGTCATTTAGTTTGTCTGCATATGTGTAGCCACAGCATGGGCATGAAAAGCACTGAATGCATCAGCAGATTGTTTTCATCTTGCTGTTACAAAGGTCCTGCTTTGATGCTCTCTGAAAGGTGTCGAAAGCATCATGCTGTAAATACATTGCATTCCTTTTCTGCTCTTGGAAATTAAATTCCTGCCTTGATGGAAATTGTGAGGTTATGTGCATAGGAGAGAGGGGAATTCTTTTCACCTTCTATACAGGAGCTATTGCTAGCATGCAGGGTGCTTTCAGAAACCCAGTTCTTTCAATTTTAAGTCCAGGTGGCAAGGGAACATTCTGAATATCCAGCCCCTTGTTTAGCTGATTTCGGTGGCCAAAAGATTAAAAAGTAGAAAAAAAAATAGGGGGAGGGGGAAGCCTAATAGATTAAAAAAAAGGTGTTTTTTGTTTGTTTCCTAGGACATAGTGCATCGTACTTCCCCAAAAGAGCTAGATACAGCTACAGGTATTCAACAGTCACCAGCACATTCCTGCAGGGAAGTATTTACAAAAGCAGTGGCATCTCTCTGGAGAGCACAGTGATCATTGAGGTATTGGGGAATTGCCAGATGGTTTTGAAAGTGAGTATTGTCATAATCATCGGAGTGATTGGGATGAGCTAATGTGGAACTGTATCTTTGGGATTACTGCTACATTTAAAACCTTTGTTTTTCTTGTAATTAAAGGCAGTTCAATTCTGGGTCTCAAAGTGGCAGAATTGCTTTGATGTGGCACGGGTTCAAATTAAGTATTTGCCAGTTTCAAAGGGCAGATAAATCATTGTTTTCTTTCTTAAATGGCATGACAGTTTCACTGTTTTGTCACATGAAGTGCAGAACCGGAGGTGAAGCTAGTCCCTTTGAAAGGAACTTGCTTTATTTTTAAGCACTTTCATATCTGTAGCAGTAATTTAAAAATAGCAAGCGTTTTAAAGAAACTTGTAGGATGTGCTGGATTGGTGCCGTTCCTAGCACAGTGTAAAATTCAGTCTTGTAACACTCCATTGATCTCTACAGGAGATCTCTCTCTCAGTGACCGGAGGAACAGACCAGTTTCAAATTACAGACTTCTTCCTGGGGTGAGCCCTGCGGTAGGCCAGTTTGAGAACTACAGTGCTTAGCAGGGGGAGCATGGAAAATAAACTTCTCTCATCTGCCTTGATTTTCCTTCAGGTTAACAGAGGGGATAATTCATGGTTTCTGCAGGGGGTTGACATGTGTGTACTATATACACATATACATGAGGCCAACGAAGAACAGGATAGTTATCCCTGTGCTTTTATCCACATGGCCATATGGATAAAATTAACTGGCCAGTGGTCCCGTGATTTTACATGAAAAATGAGAATTTGGGTACTGTCTTCAGATTGAATCACTCTCTTCTGCCTTACAATATTAGTGGCTGGATTCTCCAACCTCTAGCTCTTTATCTTAATTTGAGGCCTCCTAAGATGTGCAAAACAATATGTAATTGAATGTTTGTCTTTATAAAAAATAAAAAGTAGAAGATATTAAGAAAAAAAAATTGCTAACAGTTGCAATCTATGCTGTACTTAAAATGGGGCTGAGAGCCACCATTTTTGATCTACCATTTGAGAGCAGTTCTTCTTTACCACAACCAGCCAAATTGCAAGTACTTTAGGAAATTCCATAATGAACTTAAGTTTGCATTTTCTCCTCTGAATTCAGTAAAAGTAAGCTATGAAATGGCGGCTGAATACTGAGAACTTTACCAGGTATAGTCTCAAGAGTCAACTGAGATGGGTAGTAATTTTGCTTCTCAACTTGGGTAGAAAGGACTTATGTTTATCCAGGCTCCTACTTTACCCCAGAGTAGGTGATTGTTTCTGGCTTGAAAATGAAAGTGATATAATAGTGCTGTATAAAATGTATTTAATAGTGAGTGAAAGTTCTTTGTAGAAGGAATTTCTGGTAAACAATCTCAGATAGGCGACCTGAAGATGTGGCTATTGTGGTTGTGTTGCTTGCAACTCTGAGCCTTTTTTGATAGTCTGTGATATTCTATGTAGATATCCTTATGTGACAAAGTCCACAAGTTCTTATTGACAATGATATTTGTTGGTCTATAATCTTTGCTCCTAGGTGCAAGATGTACAGCTTAAGAGAAGTCTTGCATCCAGAGAGGAGCTTCTGAAGGAAATGGACAGTCTAAGGTAGAAAAACTTCTCATCTGGTCTAGTGCTTGTTTTTTTGAACTTATGTGGCTTAGCAGCAGCTTCACTTGACATTGTTCGCTCTGTTTCATACTCTGTTTAGTTTTAATTGGTGTTTTGTTTTGTTGTTCTTTTTTTTTTTTTTTGAAAAAGCAAGGATCAAGATATGAGCACCATCAGCAAAATGTGAGGCGTTTGGTCCAAAAAGTTTTTTTTTAAACCTGATTTTCATCCTTTTCTATGTAGAAATATTTGGAGAGTAGACAATTAAAATTATTCTGGGTACAAATTATCAGGCCTCTAGCTGGCTAGCAGTGTGTATGGATCGCTCACTAGTTCTCTGAGTTGCAATTGCTACTTGTACAGACTCTTCAGTTTTCAAGTACATTTCAGAAGTTCTTGGCTTGGAGGGTTCTCACGATGCAAAACGTTGGGTTTTTTCTTCCAGGCTATTTAAATTGCATTTGTCTAATATCATTTTCTTCCTTTTATGTTTTTGTTTTTAGTAGCGCATTCCTAACATATGTCAGTGTGTTTCCCTCTGACTTGCAAAGGTGAGGGAAGACAAGACTCTAGTGAAGATGCCTATACAAAAAGGTCTCTTCAAACTGTGGAGGTCTGGTATTTTCCCAGAGAGCTGATGCTTCTTGTGTTGTCAAAAAAAAGCAGTTCTGTTGTCTGATTAAACTCAGCCTTATAATCTTCTTCTTTGTCCTGCCACTTGGATTCTCAGCCTTTAAACAACACTGAGAACTGAGATAATTGACTCAATTCAAAGGGTCAAAAAGAGCAAGTTTGGAGTAAATGCATTGCTTTTTATATTTGTCAGGAAGAGCTTTGTGTTCCACAGTACAGGTAGTGGTATCAGAGTTCAAATCAGAGTATAGGCACATCTTCTTTTGTGAAGTTATTTGTAGGATTTTCATAAAGGTAAGAGCAGTTGTGTCTTGTTCTTTGCAGAGAAGCCAAAAAATAGAGGTAGCAAAAAAAGCATTCAGTGAAACTTGGCTATTGAAAATAATTATTCAGACGAGTGAACCTTATTAGCATTTGTCTCAGCCTATTGTGAATATACAGTGGTCTAGCTTGTCCTCTGAACATGCATGTAATTTCCACAGATAGTAGCAAAAGCAACCACAGTTGCCTAGGAGTTCAGAAACCCTTATCCCATGTGCACAGTCTCGTCTCCTGGAAAGACTTTATCCAGGTGTTTGTGCAGTAAAAGTTTTTTCTCTTACGTTGTCTTTGTGACCCGGTTGATGAGATGAACAATTAGTTCCACAGTTAATGTGCAGAAGAACTGTGCATCTCCCTGTATGGGAGCTGACCATTAGGCTACTGTAGAATTCTTCCTTTGGATTGCTTATTTTTCCCCATTAGAGGGGAAATACATGAGTAAAGTACGTTATATTAGGACTGAAAAATCAATGTTAAAAAGTGATCTCTTGCAAAAGTAGAAAACACTGTACTCTCAATCCAGGATAGCAAAAGCAATCAGGGAGTGAACTGACAACAGAGACTGGGGGATAACTTTGGGATAGTTATGTGTAACTATCTGTGTGTATCTGAAGAGGAATGATAAAGAGTACATGCAGTTACTTTGCAATTGAGACATGCTTACCAATGCTAAAGGTCTCCAGAATCATAAAATGGAATTTCTCTCTTACATTAAACAAGAATCGTTGCCATTAAGTGTAATTACTTGTAAAGAATTTACCAGGAGTTGGCTTTATTACGTGTTACGGTTATGTCGAAGATGCTGTGATTACCTTGGTAGTTTTTGGTTTGGTTTGGTTTTTATTTTAAGGGCTCTTAGGGTCAGGGAGAATTCATGAAGAATAGAGGCTTGCTGTAAAGAATGGAGATACAGAACAAGACAGATCGATTATGGAGGAACAGCTCTGTTCAGAAAATCTGAGTCTTATCTCATAAACTGACTTGCAGCCACTGTTTAAAGCAAGAAACTATAAACTGTTTTATTGCAGGGAAATACTAGAACAGCATCCTCTTCATTTTTCTTTCCATGATGGGAAAGTTCTGAAGCTCTGTCCTGTGAGGAGTGAACAGACCTGGGCACTGAACATAAAGCGAGGCATTCTCAGTGTCCTGCAGACGTCCCAAGCATCCACTGCTAGTGCAGTCATTGAAGAGGTGAGACCATTGGTAGAGTCATGCTCTAGGGTGGCTGTTAGCCCTTGGTGCATGTTAAGTCTATTCCCTTTTTAAATAACTAAAGGTTTTTGCCACTTGGTGACTGGTCAACAGCCAGTGGTGGTCATCTGATTGCTTTTGGTAGTGAGTGTTATGAAATTATCTATAACTTGCATTCTTGTTGAGGGTTGGAATCCACTACCTTGTTATCTGAGGAAAAGCTGTGTATTGCAGAATTCTCTGAGGAGTTGTAACACCAGGGCTTGTGCTTTACCTGTTCTCTGGGGAAAATACAATATTCATTATTCATGATTATTCATCATGACTTTTTTCATTAATTTCAGGAGGCTTTAAGATCAGGCTTCTCAGAGCTCTTTGCATTTATTTATTTTTTAATACTTAAGCTCAAGTTTTGCTGTGTTACTATTATTTAGTCCAGAGTACCCCACTGTCGCCCATGTGTTTGCATGAGTGCAGCTGAGATACCTCAATGGCTGCACTTCTTCTGTTGTGAAGAGCAGTCTCTAGATTGACCTTCAGCATGATGTGCACTACCTCATTCTCATGCTATTGCTACATATCAGTGCTTAAACAGATGTTCTGCAATAAGGCTTGGGATGCCCATAGGTAATTACATTTATTCTGAATAGAATTGCTTTTCTGAATGAATGCTTCCCTGCAAACCCACAAAATCTTAAATGAAAAAGCATACATCTGTAAATGATCTGATTCAGAATAACACAGTGAAGTTAAACAAATCAAGAAACTCTGAATATTATAAAGTTTGTCCAAGGTCTTTAAAATTATTTGCCTTTCCATGGCTTTTGTGGCAAAGCCAGTGTCTTGCAAGGGAGAATTTAGGTCTCTGTTGCATTGTTATTACAACAAAGCAATTATTAAAATTAATTGTAATAGCCCATAATGCCTGCTTGTATAGTATGTGTGCATGTGTGATTCAACACTGTATGTTTCTTGCTAGGTGGATGTTCTGGGAATATGCCCAACTAGGTATCAGCGAAAAGGTCCTATTCTTGTCAAGACAAGGGACTTAAACCTCTGCTCTCATCGGTATTCTGGTTTTACTTCTGTGCAGTCTGATGCTCTTCCTCATATGTCGGTAAGTGTTGGGGAATGACACTGATTCTTCCACAGGGCCTTTTAATTTCTTTGAAGAGTCTGAGTACCAGGTTTCCAATTCACGTCAGGTAGGAACATTTTTCATAATTTAAATGAAAATATTTTTGTATAGTCATTTATGCTCAATTATATTTGTGTGTGTGTGCCCAAACTTGAATTCTTAGCAAAGAAATGATGAATATTATTGTCCTTGTAATGCCTATTATTCACAGAATTTGTTTTTAATGCAAATTTGCATTGTAGTTGATGAGCATTATAGTATAAATGCAGGAGGTTGTTAGGCGCCTGGATTAACCTCTGTCATTAAAATATGTTATAGTGGTAAACTGAAAGTAGAGATGTGGATAAGAAAAATACGTTGTGCAAAGGAAGTTATTTGCAGAAAACTTTGGAAAGATAGAAGCTTCCCTAAAAGCGAAACTTACAGCTTTCCACTGTTCATGGCAAATACAGTCAATGGTTGTATCTTGTGCTGTTTCTATTAGGTGAATATTACTTGTTTCTTGTATTGTATTAGCTAGTCATAATTTACCAGCCTTTTGCTTTTCTCAACTCTCCTGACCAAAAAGATCTGCTTAACACTGATGCTTTGTAAGCTGAAATGAATTGGCACCATTTGACACTGAAAGTTAGTAGCAGTTGCATTTCAGTGATGGAAAAACTAGACTGAAAATAAAGAGCGTATTAACCTCCACAGGCTGGGGGCTGTTAAAGGTCTGGACAAGACTTCACACTGTATCACAGAACTGGAACCCTCCATGAAGTTGGGAGAGAAAGGATTGGGCAGGCTGACATAGGTCATCAGGACTTTACCTGAAGTATCTGTTCTTCTCAGTCTGAGCAGCAGATCCTGTCCTCCCAGCTGGAATGTGTTCAGACCGTTAAGGATAGAGTCCTGGCAGAGGCCAAATGTACTGAGTCCAACCTTGTTACACCGTTCTCTTGGAAGGGCAGTGGGGCAAAGACGCAGACACGGTCTTCGCTGAAACTCTTTCAAGTGGAAACAGAGACACTGTACAAAAAAGGTAACATGATGTTTCTGCTAAAATAAAGTAAATTTATTTCCTACAAAAATCTTGGGACTGCATCTTGCCTGTGAGAACTCTTTGCACCTGATATTTCCTTTCATGCATTAAACTATGTGAAACTGGATGTTTTTACAGGCTGGGCTACTGAGAGCTGTCCTTTCTTTGTGAGTCAGGGCCTGCTATAACTGGAAGCTGGGTGGGTCTCCAGAAGTGATAGATTTCCTTAACGGCCAACCCTTTTTTTACCTACTTTACATACCTAGCCCCCTTATATGCAGAGCATCAGCCTTCCTGTGTCTCTGGACAATTCCTAGTTTGTGTACAAATGGAGCCTAAATAATTGCAAGTCCTAATGGAACTAAGGACACGCCATGTCTAAGAACTGTTTCAATTTTTGCTCCTTCTTTGCTCTGTGTGCTTCTCCCTAGGAGAATGATTTTACTGAACTCAGTGAGAGGCTTGCCTGAGGAAAGATTTTAAAGTTGAGCTCTAAATGTTGAGAAACATTTTGTATTTTTTTTGTCTACTTCTAAATTTTTTTTGTTTAAAAGGAAAATCCAAATTTCCAGGACACTTTTTGTTTATAGTTATGCCAACATAAGGTGACAAGATTCTTCCTCAGGAAGAGGTTAAGAGCCGAGCCATTTATTTTTCTTGGCACTTAGATCTCCTGTTGAGTTTTTGGGAGGAACGAGTGATTAGATAAAATTGGAAAGGGCAATGAATGTAAAGTAGCAGGGCCATTGTAAGAGGCATATTGATGGAAAGTGGGACTTTTTCATGTGTATCTTCTTTGTCTTGTTTCTCTGACTCTTTCTTTCAGGTCACACTTGTCTTTAGGCCTTTATTCTGTTGTATTCTTAAATTCAACCTGACTGCAGGCATTCGCATTCATCCCTTGGCTTTACTGAGACTAGAGAGATTCTTACACGTAGCAATAAAGGCTCAGAGAGAAACTTTCCCCTAGCATTTAGGGTTAATCATAGCAGATGGCCAGCAACCACCAGATATCTGATTTTTCCTTATGTCTTTCCAGTGAACTCCGAGGATCTGTATGTGACCAGCATGCTCTATGAAAGGGAACAAACTGAGAGGGAAGTCACTGGAGGGGAAGTGACTGAACTAGTGTGGAAGCTTTGCTTAGCACATAGTGCGAGTTTTGAGGTAAGCTTTTACACATAACCTCTGTTTCCTTGTAAGGCCCTTTGTGGTCTGAGAGTTCTCCTACACAGATAAGAGGTGGCTAGGAGAGCAGCAATTTTGAAATACTGAAGCCTTCCATTGTTTGGGGAATTTTTTAGTATGGAATTATAGAAAGATAAAATGCTTTGAAGTGTCATTTTCCTATATAAACAATAAATCAAACTCAAGAGTCAAAATGTCATATGGCCCCTGAATATTGGGCAAAAGCAATTTTGAACTGTATTCTAAATTAACCTGAAAGAAAATGTTCTGGATTTTTGGGTTTTTTGGAGAAAACAAACAAAAAAAATGTCTGGTTTGGGTTATCACTGACGGTTTTGATGCTTAATTGTAAAAACCCTTTTCTACAGCTTTAGTGTGGGATACTGCCCTGGTAGTGCTGCTGTTTCCATGTTTATTGGAGTTCTGTGGTCCTTCTCCTGTTGCCTCATCTCCTCAAAACAGTTTGCACATGAAACCCTTGCCTCTGGATCTTGGCTGGTTAGTTCCATGTGCTTCTGATGAATTCTAGTAATAACCATCGTGTTTTCTGGGGATGCTGCTTGGATCCAGAGGGAATCTCTTCTCACCTAAACCATTTTCATTGGTGAATGCTGCTAAGTTAGGGTGGAATATTCTGGTAACGTGGAAAATGCAGTGGCTTAATTTTTTTCTATGATGACCATCATTCTAGAAGAGGGTTTGCCTGTCTCCTTAGCTCACGCAGGTCTTGTAATTTTTGTTGACACTGGCAGCAGCTGGATCAGTTAGTATTTGTCACTGTCTTTGAAATGAAGATCCCTGTCTTCTGTGAAATTCAGACATTATCAAGAACACCTGTTATATACAATACAGAAGGATCAACAGATGATGGCACTTAATCATTGCTGACCTGAGATGAACTGAGGGCAATGATCTAAAAGAGAGGGCACTTTATATCCCATTATGCTTCAGATGGAGTGGTTCTCGCTAGTAATGAAGTTCCTATATAGAACAACGTGGAAAAAAATGTAAATTTGAAAATAGAAGAACACAATTCTTGTTTAAGTCATTCAAGGTCAGAATATTACTAGAAAACAAGTTTGGTCTAATGGGGAAAGCACTGAACTGGGCCTTGGTGCCTCCATGAATTTGCCACTGATGAGTTTAGTCATCTCATTCCTGATATATTCCCTGTCCTCTGATGTTCTTGTCTTGTTAGGTTTGTACTCCAAAGCTTGTACTTTGGAGCAAGGTTATTTCTTGTACAATGGGGCTGTGATCTCTCCTGTAAATGCATGTAGGTACAAGTGATGTTAACAAAAAGCTTCAGACCTAGCCTAGGAGAAGGCACTTCACCTTCCTTTGTCTAGGTTAAAAGTCCCATGTCAAAGAACAAGAGCTCTGCCTGTCTCTTCCCTGGCAGGGACACACATACTGGGAGACGGAGTACAGGGTTTATGGGGACTGAAGAAGAGTGTGCTGCTGGATTACAGCTCTGCAGGCCAGTGGGGCCTGTTTAGAAATTAATATACTGTGTATATTCACCTCTCTCTTAGCTTTAGCTGTGATTAATGAGCACAAGTAGGTGTTTGTGTAATGTGGCATGAGACTTAAGGTAAAGGCATAAGCTGGAGAAGGATCACAGTCACGACAACTGAAACAGGCAACTTCAGTCAGCTATGATAAATTACAACCCTAGCAGTTACTCCCAACCTATTAAATGGTGATCAGAGTCTGACCTGGTATCACAGCCTGACAAAGACCTCAGCACAGGGCTGAGGAGAAAGCAGCAGGTGGCCTTGCTGGGTGGTGGTATATGGGATAGGTTTCTCTCTCTGAGTTATAAGCAACTCTGCCATCTTTTTTAGCTGCATGCTGGGGAGATTGGGGCTATAGAGAGCTAACAGAGCCATAAACGTAATGGTTCTTGCTAATGTAGAATAAAAGCAGCCTCTTTGGTTGTGATAATGCTTAATTCTCTGTGGCTGTCATTTTAACAGCAGTATGTGATGGCATTTAGGAACAGACTAGGGGATCTAAATACTGCTTGGAAAATGTTGAAAAAAGAAATTACTGCAGTGGACCTGAGAAACTTTCTCTAAATCCTACCTTCTTTTGAACGGCCATAATTCAGTGTCTTTGAAAGAATGGTAGACGATTTTTCCCAGTAACAGTGGGATGTCACTTCTGTCTCCAGAGAGGCCCACTGGCTTCATGTGTGGGAAATTTGTTTTGTAAATTACTAAGATTAGCACAAGTGGCTGCTGTCTGTACCACTGCCTAAAAAAGAGGTGAATTATTCATCATAGGCCTGTCCCAGCACAGAGCTCTATTGGTTGTCAGCCATTTTCACTGTTTCAGGGTGTTCCTTCTGTGTGACAAGACATTTCAAAGGGGATCTTTATTATCCCTCATTCCAACCGATAAAATGTCCTTTGGGCCAGGAAAGAAGTTATGGGAATGCCCACAGCGTTGCTTGGGAGACAGCTCCGCTGTCAGGCATGTATAGCTTGTTTGTCCCCTTATTGTTGACTCTGAATGAGGTGAGATTATGCATTTCTTTCAGCACACAAATCCAAGAATAAATGGAAGGGAAAATCCCCAACTCCAGGGAAAACAGTGAAGGGTTGAGAAAATGGGGGTGGAGACTGTGTCATTTCCAAGGAAGCAAAGTTGTTGTTTAATTTTTTAATGCTATTATGACACAAGATTGAATTTCAATGTGGATGTAGATTAGCTAATGGACCATTAAGTGAACAAGCTGCATACTGACAAAGAATGGTCAAAGGGATGGGGAGAAGGGACCCTCACTTGAGAGAGGCTTGAAGGAAGCCTGTCACACAGCTTCTGCTGGGGGCTGCATTTACATTTGGCGTCTGGATTTTGATGCTGGATTAGTAGCTGTAGTGAATGTGGCTGTGTATGCTTTAAGCAGTGTGGGCAAGAGTATGTCGGATTCACTCTGCCTAACTCCTGTACCCCAGTCTGACCCGAAAGAGTTTGCCTTTAGGGCATGGTCTCACCATTTGTTTTTCTCATAAGGCATTCTAATGGCTAGTTACTACCTAGTTGGGTGTTAGGATTTGCACGTTTCTAACTTGTGGGTGTAGGGAGTATAACAGAATATTTCCCAGGTAAGGAAGATGTTCTGATTATCAAGATGAATTAAGATACTGTAGTTACATGGATGATTTTGCTATTTGAGATTTGACTGTTCTTTTCTGTATGACTATAATAATAACTTTACCAGGAACAGAAGTCTTTGCCTGCTGTGAATTGGAAAGCCTTAGAAGATAGTATTGGGAATGGCCTGTTAGGTCACTTAAACCTGGTCCATGACCAGGCACAATTACATCCTTCCTGAAATCGGGGCTGAAGTAAGGTTAACTGGCAAGGTAAGAAACCAAATAAGAAAGAACGGATGAGGATCAAAAGGCAGGGAAGTTATGCCATGGCAGGGAGAGAATAACCATAGCTGTTCAACCAGCAGACTTCAGGGAGAAGAGTGTGTCACCTCCATCTGATTCATGCTTGGCCTTCAATTCAAGGAAATCGCTTGTTCTTTAACATGTGTAGTTGAAAAAAGAAATCAGACAGCTGAAAACCAGAAGTATGGAGAAGAGACAGCTATGTAATTCCGAAGAGATAATACTAAATTTACTGGAGAGAAGGCCTCATACTTTCATTGAGAACATAAATTAGTAGGCAAACCCAAAGATGTTAATCGAACACATTTTCAAAGCAACCTTCCTTGTGATTACATGGGCTTATACTTGGCAGCAAGTAAGGTGTCAAGCTTTCAAAGGGTAAGTGTTTGTATATATCAGAAACACTTTTACTGGGAAACATTTTACTACTATACCTTCCAATCTAAACTATACTATGTTTATGCTTTCAGAGGAACTTTTTTTTTTAAGTAGAGCTACAGTAAGTCTACAGATAGAAGGAAAAGCAAGCTTCTGTGTAGAATAAAAGCCATGCTTCTTTATGTTGCATTTGGGGGTGGGAATGGGAGCTAAATTTGCATGTAGTTTGCTATTACAATACTACAAATAGAGGCATTCCCAATGAGGTTATTGTTTATCTTACAGCTCTATTTCAATGCAACCTGCCTTAAAAAATAAAAACAGCCCACCTGACCAGACACTTCATTCTGAAGCTTTATTATTAGGAAGTAAAAATAGCTGTTTCTTTGTGAAACTTTCCACTGAGTTATTAGATGGGAGCTTGTCTAGTCAGCAGGTGTGAAGCAGAATGAAGTCAGTCTACAGTCTAAAATTATATCACCTGGAAATATATTAGTCTGGAAATTTTATCTTGACCTGTGCTGTGGCCTCCAGCTGATGAGCCACCTGAGCTTAGCAGCAGCTGCACACGCAGCACCTTGTGATGACATCTGTGAGGCTCCCCAGCTCCCCGATCATGCTGCCCATAGTGTATTTGCATGTGTCAAAAATGCACGTAAGGCCTGTGTTTAAAAATGCTTTTGAAGAACTTCATTAAATACAGTTTTTAGCATATTTTGGAATATTTTGTAGATCATGAAATGTAGCCTGTTTCACTAGCTCCATAGTGTTCAGGGTTTGGTAATTTCTTTTTAAAATAGACCTTAAAGGTAATGATGGAATGGGATGGAATGGAGTGGAATACATGTGGATCTAACTGAATTTTAGCTATGGAATTACAAATGTTATCAGAATTAATACCTAGGTAGGGCTTCATGTACGAGAATAAATTTCAATTTGATGAAATTAATATATTAATGCTAAAAAGAAAAGAAGTCCCAAAAGAACAAAAACATAAACAATGTTTGTATTGGATCTGAGAAATTATTCCCTCAGCCTATCAAACAACATGGTAAGAAATTACTCCATCTTCTTACTGAAAGACAGCTTCTTTTTACTGAAAATGTCTTGGCAGTCTTAAATTAAAATCAAATGCTGGCACTGGGTTATTCCAATTTTTCATTGCTTTTGGAAGCAGCTCCTGGAAGGAAGGTCAGGAAGTCAAAGTAGGTCTCTCCCTAGACCTTTGGAAATGTCACTTAGTGGAATTAGACTTTGTTTGTATGATTTTTACACGAAGAAAAATGTTTTCTTTGGAAGCAGAGCAGTAGTCCTATGTCTAAGCCTTTCACATTTGAAGTGAATAAAGAATTGAAGTGAATCTGTATGACATGGACCATGATTAAAACTTGTGCATTATAAAGTTAGATTAAGATGAACTTAAAAGCTACTGTATTTAACATTCTGCTAATTTTTCAAGTAATGAGACCTCTCTCCCTTCCTGAACTTTGGATCAGGTCTGAGAGGAACACATCTACATGCTATTTAGCCTTTAAAATACCATTTTCCAAAAGCTTCTACTGAGGCCAAAATAACAATGTGGTGAATAGTGTATGTGCAAATGAAAATAATCTGAAAAAGGGAGAAAACAGCCTCCATTCTCAGTAGGGGACAGACTGGGTAGGTAATACAGAGCCTGGTTTGAGTCAGGATGACACTGAAAGGCTTGTACTACATAAAAATAGGCTTCTGTCTTCTTGATAATGTGTTCAGTTCAATTTAATATTTGATTAATTTGATTTCCAGCATCACATTTTAGAAAATAAAAATTATTGCTGGTAATGTAATACACATCCAAAAGTACCTCGATACAGTAGTTTCTGAAAAACATTTGTTTCAGCTAATAGGAAACTGATACTGCCATATAAGTTAAGTGGGGGGTGGGAGTGGTGGGTTTTTTTTTTAATGTGAAGTCTACTACAGGTAGCTATTTCACTTAACAGAAAAGCGTGGGTCAGCTCTGAATTGCTCTTAATTTCTTTCAGCCATGCACATGCAAATAAATTATTAAACGGAACTATTCAGCTTCAACTCTACAGCTAGATTGAAATACTTAGGTTTTTTTAAATGAAGTAACCCTGAGGTAGGTTTTTCCATTTTGCCCACAAGAGCAAGGGGCAGCTTGTGAATGAAGGGCTAGAATTTCTTTGCACTGAAAAGTGTGTGGTAATGTACTGCAAGTAAAATAGCTGCTGTATGTTGTAGCAATTCAGCTTAGCCAGGGAGAACAGCTCTTCTGCTACTACAGTCCGATGCCCCAAGCCTGTCAGTGTTTAAGAGGCATTTGGACAATGCCCTTAGTAACATGCTTTAATTTTTGGTCAGCCCGAGTTGGTCAGGCAGTTGGACTAGATGATCATTGTTGGTCCCTTCCAACTGAAATAGTCTATTCTATTCAGTTTTAACTAATCCTGTGCTGCCTGCAGAGGTAAGAGCAGTTATGCTTGGGCTTTTCCCCAGTAAGATGGGATATTTTCACACAGCACCAGATGTACTCCAGCAGAACTTTTAAGCATTGTCCAAACCTCAGTTAAATGATCTTTCTCATAAACTTAAGGCTAATATAAAGTTAGTTTGACTATTGTTTCATTTTGTGTTGAGGCTGTGTCAGCAGTTCTGGTCATAAATCAGGATCTTGCTGTATAAACTCAGAGAAGATTATGGACTTCTCTTCTGGGTTATAACCACAGTGCTGCATTTTGGTTTATTATTCATTTGTATGCTAGTGGTGCGCATAGCAGTCACTGAGCACTGTTGCTTGTGGGACTGACTGACATCCTAAATGAAAGCCCTTCTCCTTATATGTTTGCAGCCTGAAGAGAAAAGCAAGGGAGGGAAGGAAGATAGGGGCACAGGGAAGAGAGGAGGTTTTACTCTTGGATTACACTGTAAATCAACGGCAATGCTGGTATAACCCAAAGTATCTTGTTGCACTCTGTTCTCTAAAGCTGGTTTCTGCACAGCTGTAATATTACGTTTGTTGTTGTGCTTTTTTACAGACTGCAGACCTTTTCATGGCTCTTGTGTTTGAGCTTCGACATCTTTCTCTTGAGGCCTTAAAAGTGCTATGGCAAAGGTCTTCATTTAAATGCAGAGACAACTGGTAAGGCCCCTTTAGTAATTGCATTTAAAAAAGTATATAGGAAAGAAAAGTGTTGTAAATATTTAAAATAGACCAGTGTTTTAAATCCATGCCCAAATGTTGGATTTAAATTTGGAGCACTTCAAAGGAAGAATGTGTATTACAGATTTTGTTTATGTGACAGAAGGATGATATTCTCTCCTTACTGAATGAACTTTGTGTACAAAATAGACTTTCCTGTCCCATGCCTATTCGCACGGACAGACTTCCTGTTTCAGGAACAATGTGAACAGGAAACTTGAGTCATGGCTTAGATGGAAATCAGTGCTGCTGGTTTTAAGTGTCTACTGCCATTTGTTCTGAAAAAGCTTACCTGGATCTGTACCTTCAGTGCCCTTAGTACTCATGGGGGAGAGGAGACAAACGTTAGGCCGGGAGTATGGACATGGTGGAGTCACATCTTTCATAACAGCCTGATCTCAGGATGGTTTGTACCGATCATTGAACTGCAGCTTTAAAGATCAAGGTTTGAGACTTTCAGAAATACTAATCCGGTATTATTAAAATCAATACAACTTTTTTTCTCCCTCCGAAATCAATATTCTGAAAAGTGTAAACAAAGAAACAAGTTCTTTACTTGATTTCAGTACAAAATGTCATCAGCCTGTTTGAAATTCATCTAATGTCAGGTTTTATGTTTGTAACAATATCTTAAACTTTACTTCATGCAAAAGGAGCAAATTTTGTTTTCTTAGGTTTATTCTCACCTTTTGACAAATAGTCATGTTAATATTCTTAAATACTAGGAAGCCATCTAAACTACTCTGCCTCTTTCTGTATTAACTTTAGACTAATTTTACTCAGGACAAGGTCATTAACTTCAGGAGCTAAAAAGAATCCCATGCAGACTACTCTCTTACTCTGATGCAAGTGCTTTTACCCAGTTTAATTTAACTGCTTCCTAGTTAATGCAAAAGTGCCCATCCACCAGTATAGGAGGGTGGGTACAGAATATTTACAGAGGGACTCTTTAAGAGCTGAAATGTGTATTGCCTGTCATGCTGGTGTAACCTTTCCACTTAAATAAGGTCTAAAAAAGCACAGGAAGTAAAAGCTAGTTTTACTATTTTCATTTGTTATTGGCAAAATGAAAGAAAAAAACCACCTGAATAAAAAATCAGTGCTTTAAGGTACCTCAGTCTTTAGAAGCCAAACTTGGGATATGTTTTGGCTTCATTTTCAGAGAAAGCAACTGAATATTTTCTTAAAAGCCTGGTTATACACAGTTCTTGAAACACCAATACACTTCATCACATCTTGGCTGAGGCATATTTCCGTAAGGTCACTAAACCGAAGGATAATGTTGATTTCTATGGAATCTGGCATTTGCTAAGCCAGTGGACTTTTATTTACTTTGAAAGAAGGAAGCCCAACCTCAATGTGTTTGTTATTTGATTCTTGAGTATTCTGGTCATTTTAGATTTGCTGTGCTTTTTTCTTGTGTTACAGGCAGCCACTAATAGATGCTCTCCCATCTTGTGCTACAGAGGCATGTGTTGTCCTAATGAAAGAAATCATAGCTTCCGGAGAAGTCGAGGAAGACAAAGTGGAATATTTCTTCTGGTCATTTTCATTCATTCCTAAACCCACCTCAGGCATGATCGAATCTCTTGCTGTGAGCGGATGTTGTTCTTTTTTAATTTATCATCAATCTAGCTGTCTCATGATTTTTGTGTTTTACAGTAATAAGTTTTACTTTTTCACAGAATTATACAAAACTCTATCTGTCCAGGTAATTTTAGTGGTGAAACTACTGGCTATTTTAATCTTGATTCCAAAAGAGGGTGCAGTCATGTTTGGTCACTGGAGCTTGATTTACATTTGTAGCCTAGAGACTTTTTTAAAAAAAAAAAAAAGTGTGAACTATCCTGTGGACTCCAGAGACTGGTTTAGACTAATTAGTTTTGAGGTTCAAGGACAGGGCAGTGTAAGGAAAATGATATTGTTGCATCTACCCCCTGCTTTGGATAAAGAGCTTGATTCTCCGGTATGGTCCGTTACAAGCTTTGTATTTAGCACCCGGAGACATTTCAGTCCTTTGTATATGCAGTGCTATTGCAGCTTTTGATATTTTTCCTTAACTAAGTTAATTGTATGTGGAGTAATACTGGCTCCATTTAATAGTATATTTTTCCTTTAAAGGTCTGTTGTTCTGCTGGGTTTATACTGTGTAATCTGTCATGCTCTTAGAGTCTGAAGTTGGATTTGCTATGGTTTTTTGTGAAGCTGTAGTGTTCCAGGTGGTAAAATCATAGATAGTCTTGTAGCTTAAATAAGCCATTAAGAATATTTTTTTAATTAAGTAAAATGTTATGCCTGCTTGGCTTGTGTGCTAATGAACCATTGATCAGCCATGGAGAATCTTGCGGAGTATATCACAACCTGCTGTTCCCAATCATACACGTTCTGACCAGGATTACAAAAAACAGCTCTCAGTGTTAGCAGGCTTTCCACAGCATCTGCATGAAATAATGAATCTTGAGTTCATTTGGGCTTTGCAAACATTGGTTGAAGTGGTGGGATTTTCAATAGTAACAGGCTCGCTTTGGAGGATACAGAAATTTGGAATTTGCAGGTTTATGGGACAGAAAAACTTATTTTCATTCTAAAAATGGTGAACTGCCCATGGTGACTACTGAGCTGTCAGTGCTTTTTGCGAAGTCTTGGGGTGGGACTTAGGGAAACTGTACTGGTGAGGGTTTTACTATTTTGAGAGTCCTGGAAAATAGTTTAGATTTGTTTTCACTCTCCTCCTGAGCACGCAGGGCATGATTTCTTGTGAAAAGAACTGAGGTCTGTATCATGTTGACACTAATTTAGCCCATATGTTTACATGGGAAGGTGGAAGATTTTTCCACTATATCTCTGCAGGGTTGTCCTTTTTTGTTTGTTTGTTTGTTTAAGTCCTTTAAGGACTGTTTGAAAATATGCATTGTTGAGATTGAGTTTTAGTGTGTAAGTATTTTGATGCTTTTATTTTCTATTCTGTGTAACAGTAATGATGAGAGTGACTTTTCTGAAACACCCTGTTCTTTTTCTGCTTGTTTACAGCCTTTGCTGAAGTCACCGGGAGCAAGCCAGAGCTGCTTCTTAGGAGTAACTGCTCTCTTACATAGGTTTTGTTCAGCTTACAACTCCTGTGATGATGTACCTGCTGTGCAGAGTGTGATGATGACTCTTGGGAAATTTTTGGGAGGAAACTGTACCGTGCAAGATTCAGAAGGACTCAGCCAGGTATCAGTCATATAGAAGCATATGATATAATGCTTTACTTTTCTATTCCCTTTATGATCTAGAACTTGTTTGATGACAATGGCATTCAGTGGATTTCCAGAAAGCCATGAATACAAGCTTTGTAAGTGAATATTCTTTGGTACGATGGGCAGATAAAATTTTGTAATCGAACAAGTACAACCTATCAGCATGGGTGTTCTTGTGTATTTGAATAAGGAAGAGTCTTGGGTCTTCTGATGAAGCAAACTTCGTGACGTGGGATATGGAAGAACACCCATCACTCCCGTGTAAAATGGCACATTGATGAAAGTTTCCTATTCCTTTATTGACTCAAATTCATGTACAGTTAGTGTTAGCTGTGTTATTGTTGGCTAATAAGTTCTGCTGAGTCACAGTGTTACTACCTGTAAGTCAGTCATGATATTAGGAGAGGAAAATCGTTCTTAGTTGCTGTGTGTGATCTTGAGTTAGGAGTAATTCCTGTCACAGTTCTGGGGCTTTTTATCTTTAATTGACATTTGCTGCTGAAGAAATATCTTTATATTTTCTGTTTGATGATCTACTTAAACAATCGGTTCTTCCTTATCAAGCTTAGAAGATAGAGATACTGGTGACAGTGTATCAGATAGCAGTAAGAGCCCAAGAGCTAAGTTTATCTCATGTATTTTTGTCTGTTTAATTTTCCAGTGTGCAAGCTAAACACGTGGGATTTGTATTTGTCTTCATACAGTGTGAGCAGTCTGTTCACTTTTAAGTCTTACCCCATTTATTGAAGGAATAACTTAAAAAACCAGATTTTATATATTGGGAGCCTTGAACAAAATTTTGATTAAAAAAAAAAACCAAAAGAGATTCCATTGCTGAACTTTTTTGTCTTCCTGTTAGCCATAGAATCGTAGTTTCTGTGTATGTTTTCAGTTTCTTACTATGTGCTGTATGAAATTACCTAGTTCATTTTGGTAGAACTGGGATTTTACATGCTTTGGGGATACATTACTCTCATTAGAAAAAATCGGAATACATGATGTATCTTTTAAAGTCTGTGCTCTCCATTGGAAAGAGGCGTCACCGCACTGGTGAGTGGTCTCATGTCTCTCAGAGGTGCCTCACTGGTCTCTACTGAGCTCTTAGGAAGAAGTATTTCAAAAAAGCAAACCAGCCATTTAAGTTTCCAAAGATGGATGTGGAGTGGGATTTTCAAGAGAAGCTTTGATTTCAATGTCGCTAACTGATTGTCAGTGGGATTGGTATGGTCACCTGAGCATCTGCTCTCTCCCTGCTTCCTCTTACATCCATTGCTGCCAGCTGGCAAGGAGAGTGCCATATGGGTAGTTCCAAGCTAGGATTGTGCTGTTGGACTGGATGACTACACATGCCAATTTGCTAGCAGTTGACCAAATGAAGCAAATGTTTATTCAGTTTATATTGCAATCTTTCTCTGTGGGGAAGGGCACTAATTTCTCGGCTCTACTGTGGTGGGTTAACCCCAGTAGGCAGCTAAGCACCACACAGCCACTTGCTTACTCCCCCTGCAGTGGGATGGGGAGAGAAGTGGAAGGGCAAAACCGAGAAAACTCATTGGTTGACATAAAGACTGTTTATTAAGTGAAGGAAAAAAAACCTCACAAACCCCAAAACCCACAACCCCCCCAAAAAGTGATGCAAAAGCAATCACTCACCACCAGTAGACTGATGCCCAGCCAGTTCCTGAGCAGCAGATACTTTGGAACCACCCTCTCTCCCTCCACACACAGAGTTTTAATGCTGAGAATGATGCCATATGGTTGGGAATATTTCTTTGGTAAATTCAGGTCAGCAGTCCTCCCCTCTCAGCCTCTTACCCCCACCCAGCCTACTTGCTGGGCAGGTGGAGTAAGAAACAGAGAAAGCCTTGATGCTGTGCAAGCACTGCTCAGCAATAGCTAAAACTTTGTTGTATTATCAACAGTGTTTTGGTCACAGATCTAAAACACAGCACCATACAGGCTGCTATGAAGAAAATTAACTCCATCCCAGCCAAAATAGGTACACCCACCCAACTGCCTGTTTTCATGAAAACTTTGCTTTTTTTAACCCTTTTTGTCTTCCAATAAATCTGAATAAAATTAGCCAAGAGATTAGTAAATCAGAACAGGGAACTGATGAAGAGGGGCACAGTGAGGAAGACTGCCTAAGTCTCATTAGCTTCTTGACAACTGTTCTGTGAATTACTGCTGAAACACTGTTGAATATTTGAGATTTTTGTACTTGATTTGAGAATATTTGTACTTGATTTTTCTTATACTCTGTTCCACTGTATCATTCTCTGAAATGCTAAGTATTCATGTGAGAAGCTTGTTGTGATTTACAATACACTGTCATAGTTAGAACATTTTGTTAATGGTTTAATAGAAGAAAACACAAAACTTGTTTATCTCAAATACCTCAAATATCCAAATATCTCGAATGAAGAGCAGCCTCTTGAAACTCAGCAGCATGTTGCAGTGAGTGAGTGTACAGATGTGTGGGAGAGGTATCTTTGACTGTGATAGCTTTACTGAATATACAGAGCAGAGTAGGAGGGACCTCCCACCTGATGTCTCAAACCAACAGTCAATGGAGTCTTTGACCCAAACAGTTGTGGAAGGTTTCTGAACATTTTAACTGTGCTGGCTTCAGTATAGTTTTTTCTAGGGGACTGTCAGTAAAAGGAAAATCAGGCCCCATATTGCATTGAAGTCCCTGGGCTCTAAACTTTAATACAGAGCTTGTCATTAAAAATTCATTGATTGCCAGCAGTAGCATGCTTTCTGGGTTCTGAAGTTGCACAGGTTTTCTGTATGTTTAGCGAAGAAAACTGGTAACATTATGGCATCTGTTGACAAATTATTATTTTAAATTGGTTATTGTGTCCAGAACTCAGTGTTGAATCACTAAAAGGTCAAAATGTCTGTGATCAAAAGGGGCAAAATATCAAAGTCCTTGAAAAACTTTTACTGTATGTCACATCCATGACTTGTGTTTTTCCATTGCAATGCAGTTTTTTTAAATGCTTTTGTATTCCACCAGGTTTAAGCCAGGTTTTACTTAAAAGTGCTACATGGCGCTAGAACAGCCATCCATATTCATGAGTCTTGTCCTCACACTAAAGCCAGAGTATAGCTGATACAATAGGGGCTGCAGTAAATCCCCCAAATGATCAGTGATCATTTTAAACAGAGAATTTTGCACAGAAAATGTTAATGCAATAAAATTTTATGTACAGCTGACAACATGAGGAGAACTTTTTATTCTACCTTGCTTTGTATTTACAGATGCAACTGGTGTTAAAAGCCATTGGAAATGCGGGACTGGCAGCAGCTTCACTAGCTCCTGTTTTGAGCTTGTGTGCTTCCCTGAAAAGTAATCCGATCGAAATTCGTCTAGCTGCTATCCAGGCCTTCAGGCGCATTCCCTGTTCTGTCAGGGTAAGTGATTTATTGCCAGCAGGTGACTGATGGCTTCCTGGCGCTGTCCCAGAGTTTTGACTTTCTGGAATTGTTATGAAGCATGCAAGCAAATAAGGAACAAGTGTAAACATGTCTTCCAGCAGAGCTCCTCTGCTTTTGGAGAGGTTGGTAGGACCACCCTGCTGAATGGACCTATAATATACTTTGCTATAGTTGAGGTAACACATCCAGTGACTGAGGTAATGCTTATGAATTCTTAAAAAGTTACTTCAGTTGGGTGCCTTATGTCTGTGTGAGTTATGCTGAAAATCCACAGTACTTGATTTTTCTTACAGTCTGTTCCACTGTATCGTTCTCTGAAATGCTAAGTATTAATGTGAGAGGCTGCTTGTAATTTACATTGTCATAGAACATTTTGTTAATGGTTTAATAGAAGAAGACGCAAAACTTGTTTATCTCAAATAACTTGATACTAAAAAGAATGGCAAAGCCAGGAGTGCTAGCCTGGGCAAAGCTGCAGTCCTGCTCCAGAAGAGCAAGAGGTTCCACATGGACTTGCACTTGGAGAAGCATTTTCTATGGCTTTTAAAAATTTAATCACGGCATGGATTGCCATAATCTGCTTGTTCTGCAGTTATGAAGCTCGGTGTTCCTCCTTAGACCTGTTGAAAGTATGAAGTCTATATGTTGTCATACACCTCATCATTGTCCAGCAAATGAACTGCTAAACTGACACCCTGTGGGTGGACTGGGGGTGTTAAATGCTAATAGAAATGTTACTAGTATCAGTCACCAATCTTAATTCCTGGAATTTCACCAAACAACTCATATTAGTTGATACCGGGGAAGTATTGAACAGAATAAATTTGTTACAGTCCTACCCTTTGATTAAGACCAGTAGTAATGATCTTAATAGCCTGTTAACAAAAATGTAGCCATTGTTGTCTGTGTATTAGCTGTGGCACATGTGTGAAATATAAGAGAACAACTCTCCCCTGTGGTGGAATAAAACTGTCATTCACAGTAGTGCTAGCAAGTGAGGCTCTGTGTTGCAGACAGTCCTGTATAAATTAGTCGGTACAGTATTCAGGTCATAATGACAGTTTGTTCTGGAAATTTGTGGATAAGGTAGTATGGAGAATATGTACATACATTTGTATACATGTTGCATGAAGTGACTTTGTCAGGTATAAAGCAATGGCTGTCTCTTTCAGAAAGAAAAACCCACCTGTACCTGAAAGTGCATACATGAGGTGTTTTAAGGGAGTAAATATCATAATTGTCTTTTTCTTTCTTGGTTATCTTTTTATCTTTTTCTCTTAGAATGCTATATTAGTTCAGCTGTATCAAGCAACTAGCGAAGATGTGGAAATAAGGATTGCTGCTTATTATATAGCAATGAAATGTCCACATGAAGAGTTATTTAAACAAATACAAAAGACTTTGCTGAAAGAAACGTCCAGTCAAGGTTAGCCAAGCAACTACTGAAGTCTTACACATTCCTAGTACTTCAATGTAACATTTACTTTACAGGTATAATGGTACCAACCTATATCAATTTTTATTTAATATTAATACTTTGTAGGTTGTTTTAAAAGACTATTTGTATGATGGCCACATTTTGTATTGGAATTGTGATACTGTTACTTTAGCAATAGTCAGTAAGGAGTGACTCTGAAAGAAGTAGTTCCCTCTACTGGTGACACTTCATTAGCTGAATGCTCTTGAGATGCATGGAATATCTTTGATATTTAGTGCATTAGAAATACAAAGGGATAACTGCAAATTACGTTTTGTTAAGTTGAGAAAGAAGCAAGTGGCAGGAAAAAATATTGCAAGCTGTATGTATAAAGTAAACTTTTTCTCAATCACCTTTTTAATGCTCCTAAATTCCACATTTACTATTTGTTTGCTTGATGTAATACAAATATTTATTATAAGGACTCACTACCATGGTCTTTCTTTGGTACTATCCTCTTTTGCAGTTATTTTGCGTCAGTTTTGATATGGTTTTAATATGGATCACCACTCGCAGAGGCAATCGTCTCTGGTGCAGGCACATTCCGCAGAGGAGCAGCGGCGGATCACCATGTACAGGGGGGTTTCCTGAGCTGGGGAAACCCCAGGGGAGCGCAGAGACCCACTGGGAGCCAGCAGCTCTCGTGAGGGCGGCTGATGAGGTGTGGGCCGGGCCAGGAGTAACGGCTGCCACCCCCCACTCCCACTAAAGGCAGCCCCAGGGAGCGCCAGCGGCCAGGATGGGTGAACAGGGCGTGGCACGTCAGCTAGGGCAGGGCGTGGCAGTTTGCGTGGGAAGGTGCCTCTTCGAAGGAGGGGCATTCCACTGGCTGAGTGGGAGACTTGGAGTACACATAAGCCAGCAACCGGGCACCGTTCTGTGACCATCTGCACAGGTCAAGGGCACTCATCCTGCCTGACCCTCAAGGCAGAATGGTGGGCACTCGTCTGAGGGTAAAGGCCACGGCTCCAGCTGGGGGATCTGCACCATCTACGCCAGCGGTGGACGATGCCTCCACTCAGATGGAGCTGCTGAAGGGAGAGGCTGGAAGGCAG